TCTGGGGCCTACATGTACATGTAAATGTATGTTTCTAATGACAACTCATAAATTTATAAATTTAAACTGGTATCGGTGCTTCAAGTAGATGTCATACCAGTGTGGTTTTGGTGTATCATTCCGACAGTTTTATTGATGAATGTGGGCAGGATGTGGGTAGAGACATTGTCGGTATTGCAAGATCCTTTCAAAAAGCCTACAATCTACACATCTCTGTTGTCTGGACTAAATTTTTGCCGGATAAGGGCACATTTACGTAGTGCACACAACTGAACAGTACCACGTGTACATTTACTGGTGATGTACATGTACATAAAATGAACAGCTGAGAGGGTTATATGTACACGTACTTATGCACTTACATGTAGTATGTGTTTCTTTCAAATTTCTGAACCTGTGCAAAAGACCTCATTAGCCTCATACCGTATGTACATGTAAACGGTACCTGTAGGATACAAGTACATGTACGGTAGGTGCCCTTGGATGCTGCATACATGTAGCAATAGGGATTATGTTTGACACACAAAGCACAAACGTGAAACAGTGCTTGCCCAAAAGAGGAACCGGTACTGCAAATGTATCACTTGGCACCATGTTCATATTAAAGCCGTACTTGCCCTCATGGAGGTGCAGTATAAGACAATCTTGAACCAATGCAACAAAGTTTCTACATGTACATGTACATGTATGGTATCTCTGTGGTAAATCAACAAAAATTACTGAAGCCAGACCACTTCACCCAAAAAAATTACAATGTTAATAACCTGAGAAAACAGGGATGACATCCGGTATTTCTGGGGGTGGGGCGGCAAGGTGGGGACAAACCACTTTTTTACAGGTGGAAAATTTCCGGGGGGGGGGAGGGCAAAGCACTTGCCATCAATGAACTGGTCACCTTATCAGTAAGGGGTGGGGATTCAATTTCAAGGTTTTTTAATATTTGTTTTCACACCAATTGGTCATTTTTATCTGCTCTCATTACTTTTGCTTTCCTCTCTTTCACTTTGTTTTGTTATTTTTTTTCCCTTTTTACTTTTCAGTTTTTCCCCATACCCTTGTGAGCCGATTTGCGCCACCCTGTGCATGCCGGCCAATAATCTCCACATGTTCCCAGGGCAGCCAATGCGATTAACAATCCAATTTTCCCCACTCCGATATTAACCAGCAGAATGGCAGGTTAGCAAACTCAAATCCCACTTTATTCAATCAACCTTTCTCCCATGCATGTCCATTAACAGGATGCTGTTTTTGGGCCCCGCTGCGAGCCAAGATGACGAAGCGTGTCTGTGACTTCGAAAATTAAATTTCGTTCCAGGGTCCCTCTCCATTTTTTTGGGGGGTATATTTTTTGTTTTTCGGGGGGGGGGAGGAGAGAAGACAGGTTCTTGCTAGCTGTGTCATGTTCATATCCAGGAACCATTGAACCAATATTGGAGCGGGTACCGGAGCTCCACTGAAACTGAGACACGTACATGTACAACAGCCTTCGTCTTTCTGCCATGCAGTTGGAACTTTCTACACAGATTAAATTACTTCACGAAGCAGAGAAAAGCAGGATAGAATACAAAAACAAAATTGGACGATGTACAGCACGCGTTTAATTTTGACCAGTCAAACTAATGCACGTACCCTAACCCCAATATCCGGTCACTTTGAACATGTACTTTACAATACACCTGTTCATGCAATTAATCAAAGAAAAACCAGGTTACATGTACATCTTCCCAGGACAAAACCACACATATAATTATTACAACTGATAACACAATGCTGACGGACAAGGGTATTGTGTTTGAAATTCTTGGGTGTAGTAAACTTGAGCGCCCTGTAAATTTAACACGAACCTTCACTTAAATTTTGGAAATATGCTAAATTTGACCAACATTTTCAAACATGCATAACCAGTACATACATGTACTGGTACATACCGGTATGCAAACAGATACATGTACATGCATGTACATTCAAAAATTTGTATCCTTGTGGAGACATGGCTTTGTTCTCCAGCGCTAACTCGGTTGCCTGTGGAACGATGTTTTCAAAATGCTCCCTTTCAACATGAATCACTCTCTTGGGCTGAAGTTTTCACCGAATGTCTAATATACATGTACCGGTATGAAACACTTCAATTTGCGACAGATTGTGACGCATTAAAAATTTCTCCTTTTTCAGCGATTTCCAATATCAGTTTCATGAAATCCTTGTGGAGACCAATACACTTTTAGAAATTCCTAGTGGGGACCTATTTAACCCATTCTCCTGGGTCTCCACAGAGTACCACATTCCGAAACTTGTTCCGTAGATGTGGGGAGATACTGTAGATGTACATGTACACTCCTCAATGCATTGATTTGGCGGGGACAAAATGTAGTGGGGACAGGGACATGTCCCCACACTTCGGCCTATGCAGTCACTGTACGAGCATATGCACTGACTTTGAAAGCTCTTATGCCATTTGCTCTTTTGACTTGGCTGGCTGTACTGAACACGTGGGCAAATAAAGCATGAATGCACACATGAACTGCACACGTTGATCAAATACAATGTATACTCTAGCAGACGGGTGCTGCAACGCAAACTTGGGTTTTTTTCCAAGACACAGAGCCCGATCAATATACACACATGCCAGAAGGTCCTTCTTCCCCTTTATAACAGGATATTTCCGACCCTCCCTTTGCCAAGGATCTTGAGCTTTCATATTTCCTAGCATCATGTTCTGAAGCCTTGTCCAAATTACTTGGATGTGGCTTGAAATCACACACAGCTCTATGAGAAGTGGCTGCAACCAGTTCCCATAGAGTCCTACCAAACTTCAAGCCACAGCCAAGTGATTTGGTCGCAGCCTTATATGACCAATGGTGCAGAGGCATATTCTACATGACCCTCCCCTTTGCCAAAAAGTAAAATTGAACTCACCAAGCCCTCCCTGCTCCCTTCCACCCTGGCATTTTACCAGGGTGAGAGGATACGCATGACTGGCTGTGGACATTCCCCCCTCCCGGAAACAACTACATGTACGGTGTTGCGTGTGTACATGCCAGCTAACAAAGCACTTTGCGAGTGAAATGTCAGACAAAACACGCACTGACTCTGACAAGCGATCAGTGGTGATGTTGGGCCATTTTCACTGGCCCCTCATCCCCTACATGAGTACCTGTATCGTGCCCGTCTATTGTCTCCATAGGGGAAGAGAGTCCTCCCTCCGACCCTAACCATGACTAATCTCAGTGTCACTTCCATGTACACGAGTACATGTAGGCCTATGTACTGTACCATGGTCCGTGATGTAATTCAACAAAAACCAGCAATGTTTTATACATGCATCCACCGGCACGCCTGACTGAGGAAAATGATTTCATGGACTGTGATGGTAATCTCTCTGCAATCCATGAAGTGATTGCATTAAGTGGTCTACTCACCCCATGGTATCCATGCTTCAAGTAATAGCGTAATTTTATACCTCCACACTCTACATGCGTCACCTCCATGTACATGTGTATGTATGCACACTTGCATGCGATCAATTTTCAAGCATGAGCTCTCGGTAAATTTACATGTGCCGGTACAGTATACGAACTAGTACATGAACATGTCGCAAATTAGGATACTAATAAGGTTTCTGATTACAGTCATATTGAACTAAACTTTAGGCCCAGGATGTTGCAAGTTTTTGTCACAATATACATGTACACTGTACATCGATTTGACACTTACCGCGGAATATAATCCACTTGTGCTGTTTGTTATCCTCAACAAAATATGGATACGCGCATAATGTACGAAAACTGTACTTACAGGGGTGGCATGCGTGAAATGTAAAGCTGCTATCCAAAAGGTCCGCCCAATTTCTAATTCACCTTAAACGAAGTTCAATTTCAAGTAATGACTCAAACTTGATACATATGAAGGGCACGTAGTTCCCCTCTGGACCTCTTGGACAAATGCTGCAAGGATGGAGAGGAAGGTGGGAACTTGATAAAAGTGCAGGCGGTCGCATGTCTTTGTGCCCGCCTCGATGCACGTGCCCAGTGTAATGCAACCTCAACGCACTCAAGGCAGGGAGAATTTGATGACCAGGGGCCTGCCTGCGCATGCATTGATCTCACAGAGCAAGCGCACCTGGAGATTACAGCAAGTGCGAGCAAAGATACAACAGGAAGAGAGCTTTGAGAAGAGGCGTGCCTCCTTGCCAAAACCCGCAACGTTAACGCGCGCTTCACGTGCTTAATTGCCTTGGCATTTCATTGACATCACTTGAGGCAGTTTAACCTCTACGGCAAACAGTCTCAAAATGTTAAAGGCAGAGAAGAGAAGCGTGCATGTTGGGCTGACAATGGTGAATAGCATAAACCAGTACAAAGTGAAATCTGCTTTGCTCTTGCATTCACTTGAGAACTGTACAATGTATGTACACAGTACCCTTTACTCATTAACCCTAACACTCCTCAATCCTTCACCTGTTGGAGGACTGAGGAGTGTTAGGGTTAAGTACTCTTCAGGTTTTACTGTACATGTACATGTACGGTAAGCCAGATACGGAATCAGTGCTTTACAACATTTGAAGTACATGTGCATGTAAAGTCCCACTTACTCCATACAATAAGATGCATTCCTAATGAGCAAAAGCACTACTTTTGTACATTCAACTGAAAAATGACAATTCAGTTCACTGCACTACAGTGCAGATGTACATGTAGGGTATAGGGTACATGTTCCGTACTGTACATGTACAGTACTTGTTTCTGTGGTTGTGGGGCCCAAGTTTTGCATGGTAAACACTTTGGGGATCACAACTGTTTTGGGGAGACACACTTACATGTACACATGTAAGTGTGTCTCAGTTGTGGAGACATGCACTTGTCAAAATATCATATTTGTGAGGGCCAAAACACATTGTGGGGGCAACAGAAAGTCCCCATAACTCTGACCAATTGTAATTGGCCTAACAATAGAAAACTCCCCCCTAATGTGGTGAGGGCCAACCCGTAAAAAATACCAACCGTTCTGTGTCGGGAAGGCTTCGGCTGCCACTACCCCGGTGCTTTTGTCCTGCAGCGGTATGTCCACGTCTCCCTTGATGGAGTCGCCCACCGTGAAGCACACCCGGTAGCGGTGGCTGCACTGCAGGAAGCCCAGGTTGACGTCAATCATGGCGTCAGCCTCCCGCGAGACATGGATCTCTGGGTCGTGGACGTCCTCCGGGAAGTGGACGCGGGAGCTGCCTCGAGGCCTCGTGATGCGGGGCTTATCTGAGGACAATACATGTAAGAAGAAAATAAACTAGGGATGCATTCTAAAGACTCTTGCATCTTTGAGGACAAAGATAAATGTACAAAACTCCCGACACGTCTGTGATATCTTGATTCAACTGACTCGGGCTGGGACTTCATATACCATTGTCCGCTCTGTCTAGAAGAGCACCCTCAGCGACAAAGAAAGGAAAAGCTGGAGGGGTCCATTTCAACCAGGTGCAACACGCACTGTACCGTGCATTCCAACAGAAATCAAACGTAAGTGCTAAGCACGGCCTGTGCCAAGCATACACAAACCAGTGCATGTACACACCGTGTCCACACCGAAAAGACATCGTTGATTTGTAAAAAATATTTCATCTCTAATTCATTCAGAATTCTACTATACATGGACGCCTCAGACATGAATGCAGTACATGTTCCTCAGGTGAACACTATACATGTACATACATTAAACTACCGTACAGTGTATGTACCGGTAGTTTGTATGGCTAAGGACATCTATATGCACAGTCCTGCTTAGAGTTCGTCACTTCGTAAGTGCGCTGTTTCAATAAAACATGGTTGCTTTTATAAAAATCGATACTTTCCAGCAGTCTATTTGTCTTTCCTACAAGCAACCCTGGCCTGCAGATGGTTCTGTTCCTTTCATAAGGCATCAAGCACAATGGGGCAAGGATGGTCTCCATCGGCCTATTTCTCTTTCTTTGTGTGCTCATCACACATCCATCTGGCAATTAGCTCGGGCTAGAAGATGACTAGTCTTGTTATAATGTCCAGCACACGACTGTACAATGACTGCATACTGCACGTGTACATGTACGTTTATGTGTACCTGTACATGTTAACGTACGTGTATGTAAACGTAATGCTGAGTTCAACTACTCTCAGGTAAAGGTCATGCTCAGGTGTTTACTGCAAATGCAGAACATGAAGGCCTGTAAACTTGCAAAAACATGAACGAGTACATGCTGGAGTACCGTACATTATGATGTACCTGGTATGTACATGTACGTCAAAGAAAATGCACTATACGGTACATGTAGGTGCCTGTACATACCAATAAGATCATGTGCATTACAGTACGCTGGCCGGTCATGGCATGCTCTACGGATTCACATGTACTCATAATGCAGACATGGTGAAGGTACTGCACATTACATATATACACGTAGTCCTCCATTTTTCTTGCAATGTAATTGAATTTCCTCTGTCTGGCAGAACACCTCCTTAGACGAGCCGTACACTCACCAAACTAGGAAATGCTGCAGTTGCATTGTGCACAAACAGACAAGTTTGCATTCCATTACCTTTGCGAAGCATGCTGCCAAATATTGCAGGCCTGTACCATGTATCCCTGCACCTTGTTCACTGTTTGAAGGCTTGTCAGGTAAACTGATTTTCTAATTTTCTATTAGACTAGCATTGCCGTTACTGGCCTGCATAGACACATACGTACCAGTTCATGTACATGTCCATGCAACAGTGCATACATGTATGCAATAATGCTGTCTGATGCAGACAAGAACTTTCTTGTCACAACCATGCTGATCTGTACGGTGCACACACACACAGCAGCAGCGGCAGTGCCTCAATCGTCAGTCATGCTCCTTTTAATACATGACTGACCTTTCAGAATTGTCATAAAAGTTACAATAAAACCTTTTCAGGCATAAACGGAATTGGCTTTCATGGGTACCTGACTGCATACCAGTATTTCCAGCATGTGTGCGTGGGGGAAGTGGGAAGGAAGGATTTTGTTTGGTTACGGTAGATTACTTCCTGTGCCAGGGAGAGTAACAAATGGAAAGTTCTGATTGGAGGAGAAAGGCAAATCAAAAGTTTGAGGCAACTCTTACCCCGCGAGCCTTCTCCCCCCAAATGGTAATTAATATTTCAATTATTCAAGACAGTGTAATGCATTTTTTTAGTAGATTTTTGTGTTATACTGGTGTGAGTGAATCTTTTTTCTTTACAAAGATCTATGTCTCCAAAATCCTGTTGGCTGATTGCACTGTATTGGCTAGACTAATCCGGTTTCTCCTGTAAGTTTACACTGGTAAATACTCAATCTGTAGAACTTCTAAAGAAGAAAAGAGCTGACGAACGTTGGAAACAAGTGACATTTTAAATGATCAATACGGGTGATAGCGTGCCTCCAAGAGTTTGCAACACTTTGGCCAATCACAATATGTGAAATCCGTCAACCCTTTCCAAATGTGCCTTGGGTCAACAGGTTTCGCACACTGTGACTGGCCAACGTGTTGCAAACTCTTCGAGGTGCACCTTTGTGAAACGCTCCCATCATTCTGAAAATAAATGCATCATCTTCATTATGGGAAGACCTCAACGATGAAAACCATCAGTAGTATAAACCAGATGTCCAAGCAATAGAAAGTGAAGTACATGTACTGGAGAGTACCACAGTGACTACGCCACGTGCACAATTATGTGTGTAAAAGGCATTAGCGCAAGAACCAGCGCGTAAACCAACACGGGTGCGTATTCCATTTATTTGTACTACACTTTCTGATTCAAAACGACGTCACGCTTCGGTACTCCCTACCAGATGGGATTCACACACTACTAACAAAAAACCCGAAATTAAACCTCTACATGTATAAAAATCCATCATCGAAAGCCTGAAACACGGACAAAAAATCATGACAAATCACGCCTGTGAGTGTTGCTTTAAAGCATATAAAATACACGTACATCAATTGAATATCAGTTACTCAGCTACATGTACATACTCTTCATGTAAAGCCCGGCAATTCTTGGGCGCTTAATTAGTATTGCTGGGGACGACCGATGGCCATGAGAGCTGTTTACATCAGCCGCTCCACAGTGCTGTCAGTGTCACTGAATAAGAGACTAATTGAGTTTGGATTGGATGATTGGTCCTCCACTCAATAGCAAATAGGCCATTATCAAATAAATGGAGGAGAGGACATGCTGAATTGCTGCCCAAATTGGGACTTAATAAATGATTATTCAACATGGTTTAGCTGTTTGTCTACAGGTTGATGTACAGTGTATGTTAGCTACTGATGGTGTGTTAGGATCTTCATGCATGTCACAGTTTTAGATCTTTGAATCAGCATGCATAAGAAACGTACATGTCTGAACCGCAAGTATCCAAGGCTCTCCAAGTGGACTGATAGCACTGCTGGTACAAATGGACTTAGAAACAGAAATTTCCTTGGGAAATTTCTACTAATGTGCAGGTTTGACAGTGGAGACAGCATTTCATTTAAATTCGTGGTGCATTTGTCATGGATGAAAAGCAGACACCCTCCACGGTACATGTACATGTAGTTACACCATACCGGTACATGTTCTATGCCCAACGCCCAACCTTCAAACATTGTACTGGTACTGTACATGTACAGACCTGTACAAGTGCATGGAATTCTGAATACATGTACACTGTACACCTGCGTACGAATGTGTCGGTTTCTGTTTCTGAACTACCGGCAATTATTGAACAATGACATCCAATGTGTCAAAAGCTATGATGATGACGCATGTGCACTATTGATGTTACAGCCATCTGTGCGGACTTGATCTAGGGTCTATAATGAAGACTACCAGACTGCCTAGTGCCACCTGTCGCTCACGTCACGTTAATGGAGATCTCAAACACATGTATGGTTGTCTCACGGAGGTGGCATGAAAGTACAGTTAGCTTATTTACTGAGTTCAGGAAAATTTACATCTACCCCTCAAGTGTACTGTCACGCAGGTGCATACATGTAAATGCAGTGCTATTGTAATTTTAAAGAATTTTCCATTGCTTTTTAACTAGCATTGATCAATAAAAAGGCTCTAAAAAAATCAACTCATGTGAACAGATTGGCTGCCAAAATAGGGAGTTAATCTGACTGCCTCCCCTCCTCCCCGAGGAAAAATGGCCTAGGTAAATAGAATATTTGAAAGAAGGCATGCATGCAGACAGAGAGGAGAAGAAAAGAAAAATTCCTAAACATAACACTCCCCTCTAATCACATTGCTGTGCATGCAGAAGGCTTCACATCACTGCATAGTACATTACCCCATGGTAAACAACTACAGCTATACTGGACAGTATGCAAGAGCGCACAGTTCTGGAGAGGACACAATTCCATGTAATTCAATTGCATCCTTTCACTGCGACTGGAGGAGTCCATCTCAGACACAGATTCCCAGCACATGCACAAAGTTTATAAATATATACACATGGGTGAACATAAAACTGGAGAACCTGAGACGCCGCTGTGTTGGAGTGGGCACCACACTCGTGCGAATGTTATACATATATACACATTCTGGTGCACAGTTTGGCGAGTTGTGACACTCTCACTCCAAGAAGCAATCAGTGGGTGCATGCTGCCTGTGCACCAGCATTGTACATGTACATGTACCACAGCAGACATGGCTTCTATGGTATTCTACCAGTACATGTACATGTACTTCTAGTCTACAACACTAAGACTGATGAGGGACCATTAGTAATGGTGCTCGGGTACATAGTGACTACTTAAGGGGGATGTACATTGTACCGGTACATGTACAGTATCTTTTGTTCAGAAAGTCATCCTAATAACATTTTGGACCCCAACGTACTCTGCACGTACCAGCACAGGAGTACCAACCCTATTGCCATTTTGTGCAGTTACTGTACATGTACCAGCACAAATGCATGAATTTTAGAAATCATTCACGTACATGTATGGAACCCATGCATGTAGCGGTATAGTGTACGTATTCATGAACATTTTGATTTGAAATGCACATTGCTTATGGCATGTCCGATAAAATAACCATGCCAAGTGGTTATTTAAATTAACTGGCAAATTTCCTCAAGACACATTCATGTACAAATCCCACACATGTACCGTTTCTAATGGTCCCTGCTGTTAATGTGAACAATATGAGTACAGTACATACTTGTTGCTGCAGACATGACCCAGACAGGCAGAATGAACACAAGTAATGTGGAGGTACGGTATCCGTAG